TTCAAAGTTTTCATATCTATAGTTAGTGAATATCATTGTTTTTTCAGTTTGTAAAACAAGGTACGTTTCATTTAGAAGTGACGATGATTCTCTTTCTTTTTATGTAATAATTTTTTTTTTAAAATCTTAAAATGGATGTTAAATGGGATGGATACAGGGATGGGTACCATGTCTCACGTACCCAATTAGACAGGAAATTCCTATCTCATTTGAGGCGAGGCATGTGAGTACCGGGTTTAACGAATTATGAATTATTTTGACATCACTATTTGTATATAATTAAGTTGTTCTCCAAAATTTAATTATTTTCATTTTTGTTTTAGATCATTGATTTATAGTTATAGAATCAATTTGTTTTGTACAACTTAAATTTAGATTATTGTTTCTTTGTAATTGATACCTTAAAAATACTTAAATTGATTGCAAAGTTGGTTATTTTTTCTTCTTTTAGGCCCTGTCGAAAGCTCTAATTTTTCAGGGAAAATGACATTTTCCAAGTTTTGGTGTGTTTGAGCCTCCAATTTCCATGGAATTCCTTTTCCTCTCTTCCCACTCACGCACTAGTTTTCCCACTTTTGAAAGAAAATGTTTTCTTGTTGTTTTGGTAGTTTTTGGTTTTCTAACTTTTTTTTTTTTTTTGGCAATTGGAAAAAATTCTAGATACAATGGTAAATTTTTTTTTTCACTTTTATTGATATTTTCCATGCAAAATAAAGTCAAATGAATGATAGTCGGTATGATAAATTTTTTTTTGTTTTGGCAACTAGAACATATTCTAGGCCCAATGATAAAAAAATTATCATTTTAATGGACAATTTCCATAAAAAATAAAATCAAACGAACACTAAACTTTCAACATTTTCCAAGTGGAAAATTATACCAATCAAACACAATTAATTATAATTCCCAGTAAAACAATTTCTAGGAAATTCAATTCCCTATAAAACATTTTTTTCACACATTTTCCTCATTTGCAATCAAACGGACCATTAATTCGTTCGTTGTGTTTAAATTTTGGTAGCTTGAGTTTTTGTTTTTCGACATTTTTTTTCAAATGCTACAATCTTATTCCACCAAAATTGGACATGAAAAATAATGTGGTCCCGCCCCCAGGGCACATCTCCAAGTGGTAAAAGGGGAAGGTGGAAAAACTCCAGCTTTGCTTGAGGTTTCCGCGTCAAGGGTTCGAATCCTGAAAAATGGATTTGGCCATTGGGTAAGTGCAAATGTACAAGGAGCCTTCCACCCTGTACCCTTGGAGGCATAACCTGCGATTTACCTCCTTCATCAAGGTCCAGGACAGGGCAGGTGGGGTCCGTCAAGGATGCGGCTCCTCCTTTTATGTACAAGTAGCCTTCCACCCTGTACCCTTGGAGGCATAACCTGCGATTTACCTCCTTCATCAAGGTCCAGTACAGGGCAGGTTGGGTCCGTCAAGGATGCTGCTCCTCCTTTTATGAAAAATAATGTGGTCCCATTATGTTGGAGGGGCTTTTTGATCGTGGTGGTTGTGTCAAGTGGTTGTTATGACACTATTGGTGGTTAACCATGTGGGTGGAGGAAAAAGGTAAGTCAAAATTCTCCCACTAAATCATGATCTACACGTCACATGCGTTCACACACACACAAGAGAGAGAGAGAGAGAGAGAGAGAGAGAGAGGCGGAACATGAAAGAATAATGCTTTGAAATAGCAAAATAAGAAGCAATTTATTAGAAGAAATAATCTTAAAAATAAATTTAAGATAAATTGATGAATAATGAATAGTAAATTTGACTTTTTGAATAGTAACTTTGTTTTTTTGAATAGTTACAACTTTCCTAGAAAAAAGATCTTAAAGAAAGATTATAAAAAATCTAAAATACAAATTATACAATAGAGAAAGAGTTACACTTTGTTTTTTTTTCGAAATTACACTGTCTTTTTTCGTGAAGAGTTACTCTTTTTTTAATAGATGTTCTTGATCTTCGGACTTGAAAAGCTATTCCAATTTGATGAAAAATCTTAAAAGGACAATTATGACTATCATCCACTTACTTTTAAATAGACTGCTTTGAAGGACAGCTATCAGTTCTGTCTACCACTTGTTTGCTTTGAACATTTAAAGGACAATTTTTTTTCTCCTTTTTGATGTTTTGAAAGACCACTTGAATTATTGTTTTTTTCCTGAAGGAAATACATTATTTGTTTGAAATTACTAGTCATCTACAAAATCATCTATGCGTTGAGCTTATACTAACCACCAGGTAATGTGTCACCCGAGTGCTTAGGATAAGCTAAATACTAATGTTTAACAAATCAGTCCTATATCAAATAAAGCATTCTACTTCTTTCAGAACAAACACTTTTCTAGAAAGACATAATTAAAACCTTCAAGACATTCAACTTCTTTGGAAAAACTTAAATGAATTGATTTTAACCCAAATATTTAAAAGCCTCAGTATGGAGAAGAATCAGATTCAGAAAAATCTAAGTCTCCTACTCCTTCAAGATATGTAACCTCTTCTTCCATTCGAGAAGTTAGAAAAACAATTAAGTGGTATCTCTTCTTTTATGGACAGAAAAAGGAGTTCAAAAATGACAAAACACCTTAAGTTAAAGCCTTTAGAAGAAATCGAAAAAGCTGTTTTCTGTTATGAGCCTGTGTCAGACCCACCACCTCACCCGCCACGTGTCTGTAGAGGTGGTCCACACCACGCCACTCGTCGATCAAGGTGATTGTACATGGGACGAGCTGATTGTACATGCTGAAGTAATTATATGAGGAACGAACTGAACACGCGTTAGCGAAGGAACCAGACTCATCCGCAAGTTCACCGCGGATGCAAAGGCCAGCACTCCGCTTCTGCAACGCTACAACGCCTCACCTGCTTCGCCTCGTCTCGCCTATCAAAGATCTCTTGTATAAAGATCTTTCCAAAGTCAAATCCCTGACTGATGGGACGTGTGGCAGGACCTAAACGGTCAATTCAGCTACCTTTGTCAGAGACATTCAATGTCAGCCAACCTATGGAGGGACGAATTGACACCTAGGATGGGATGAGCCCTAAGGATCTTATAACACGTGTCTCCTCATCCAACGACTCTCCTCTTCCCATCCTTAGTATAAATATCCCCTCCTTGTGCCAGGAGAGGGATTGGAATCACATATATTCGAATCAAAATTTTCCCATACTACATTGTAAATTTGAATATTATCTTCTCCATTAAGTATTGTCACTTTATCGCTATACACTCTATCAACCACTTCCCAGCAAGTGTTCTACTGTCGGTGAACCTTTTCCGGTTGAATTATAAACTGACTTGACCTTCGGAGTGCTAGCGACCGCTCCCAACCCCTCCGGGAAAGGCCACAGGTGACTAACGGTGTGCTATGTGTGCATGGAATAGCTGACTCGAATACTTATTTTGTTGGCCACGTGTCGGAGCCATTTTTCGGGGTTAACATTTTCTACAGAAGAACTTGAAACCTTTTGGAAAGAACATTAAACGGAGATACTAAACAGATCATCCTCTATTTGAAGATCGTTATTTCTCATGGAATTAATGAAGTTATTGCTTCTCATCTCAAGCAAATCACTGATAGATCAGAAGATTTTAGTTTCACAGTCAAATATATTAAAAATACTCAAGCATAAAATAATTATACAAATATTTTATTGCAATCAATGACAAATCAATTAACTAGAATTGAATTGAATCGAATCGAATATTTAATAACATACTTGCAGGCCTTACATGACAACTGAAAGGTTGGTGGACAAATTATGTCACAAATGATGAAATAGATGAGATATCCAATGCAATTAAACCAAATGGTCAAAATGACAACTTATAAAAAAATTTATTTATTATTATCAAACATTTTATCGAAAATCATACTTCCTGTCACGAAAAATCCTTTGAAGTTTTGATGAATTTAACATGTCCAAAGTTTCATGATTTTCGATGGTATAAAGCCATGTTCTAAAATGCGCCAAAATGTGCTGCCTAGGCGCGACGCGGGTAGAAAACGCGTCGACTTCGGGAAATACTCGAAAAATGCGTTTTCCATCTAAAAAGAGGGAATAATGCGCGCCTATGC